GTGGAACACTGTGGCCAAAAGAGCTAATGCAATCCTGGAATTCATAAATAGGGGAATCTCGAGTAGGAACAGAGAGATTATTTTACCACTGCATTTGGCATTGACGTGACCGCTGCTGGAATACTGTATCCAGTTCCGGTGCTCACAATTCAAGAAGGATGTTGATAAATTGGAGAGGGTTCAGAGAATGATTAAAGGATTAGAAAACATGCCTTATAGTGATAGACTCAAGGAACTCAATCTATTTAGTTTAACAAAGAGACGATTAAGGGGTGACTTAATTACAGTCTATAAGTACCTGCATGGGAAACAAACATTTAAATAAAGGGCTCTTTTTTGTAGCAGAGAAAAATATAACACAATCCAATGGCTGGAAGTTGCAGCTAGACAAAAAATAACGCATATATTTTTCACAGCGAGGTTACTTAGCTATTGAAACAATTTACCAAGGGTCTTTGTGGGTTCTCCATCACTGACCATTTTTAAATCAAGACTGGATGCTTTTCTAAAAGCTATGCTCTAGGAAATACGTTGGGGGAAATTCTATGGCCTGTGCTCTACAGGAGATAAGACTAGATGATCACTATGGTCCCTATGAATAGCTTACAAGTAGAGTCATAGTTTAATAGTTTCTGTCTAATTTGGCTTAGTTTTGTTTTATTTGTCTTTTGCAGAGGGCATATGGTTAAACAAACAGAAAGCAGTGTGCCTCCTTCCCCTTAGGGTTTCATACCCTCTGATACTTGCTGTTTGCACATAAATTGCATAGTTTACCCCTGACTTATCTCAACTTTGCAACTTTCCCAGCCCTACAAAAGGATTTCAGAACCACTACATAGATTAGAATAATTTGAAATTTGCTCCATTTTTTCCTGTGCTACTCTCCCCCACATCGTACTGTTTTTCAGCATTATCAACGACACCAAAATGTGAACACCCTTGAAAGATTCAGGTCCAAAATGATGAGGACAGTTCACCGTCTAGCTTTGCAAATTCATTGGAACAAAATGTGAAAATGGGGATCAGAGTCATTCAGATTCAGAGCACAGCTATGGTATAATGAAGTAATTTGCATACGGTATGCTCTATAAGGCTCAATGGTTCTTTGTAAATGTGTTTTTCTGAAATGCTGGATCTTCTCCATGGTCAGGCAATGAGTGGCTAAAACTAAATTACAAACATCAGCCTGAGTGGTCATGTGGTCAAGAAAGAAAAGGAGAATTTAGCAAACTAATTCATTTAGCACCAAGCGCTGAAGTTGGGACTCAGTGAAAACACTTACTGAAGTCAATAGGACTTTTGACCAAGTAGGTCCTTAGGCTTTGGCCCTTGATCCTCCTATTGTGGGCAGGGTCGCCAAGAGCGGATTCGGGCCACGGTGAAAAAATTTTTTCGAGCCCCCCAGCAAGGGCAGACCGGCTAAACAGGGCCGACGAGGGGTGGGGTGGGAGGGAAGCCAGGCCCCGGGCCCCCTTCCGGACCGCCGGGCCCCGGTAATTTGTACTGGCTCCCCCCCCCCCCCCTCGTCGGCCCTGACTGTTGGTGAAACCAATATTCTGAATCCAAACACCAGAAACTTTGGGAGAGTTTGGATTAGGTTAGAATCCAGACCCATACCTCTCCAGCCTATCTCCAATGTTCTCTCCCAGGTATAATTATATTCCACAGATAATGTTAGAAAGGTGATGCAATTGTTTTGTTTGAAGCAACTCTGTACAGGAGCTACTGTGAAAGCTTTAAGAAGGAATATATATTGGTTTGGTTAATTTGTATAGCAAAATGCTTGCCAATCTGCATACGTTTTAATCTGCACACAAGGTCTGCTGCTCCTGCCTCAACTCTCATAAAATATTTGGTGCTGTAATGAGGTCTGATATTACTCCGACTTCACTCATACAACGTTTAATGACTATGAAATATTTTCATAAATAATTAAAAATAAGATGACAAAGAATGATGCAGATGTGTTACTCAGTCAGTATGCTCTCAGAGATATGTGAATATATGGATGAATGAATGCATAGCATGTGCTACATAAACCAATCAGTGCTTAAAAGAAACTCTAGATTTTCAGTGTTATATAAGATGACCTGTGTGGCAAATTATTTTAGAGTCAATTTAATTAAAAGAAAACCTTTCATGACACTTTCTCCCCCAGGGTAGCAGATAACTTGGCACTGGTGTGTCTTGAGAATCAGAGGACAAAACCTGTCCTAACTTACTCCGTGCATAAACCCATTGACTTCAGTGAAGCTGCACGGGGAATAAATCTAGACAAAATTTACTCCTTTTTTTGTCAGAGCTGTGATATCAGAAGTGTACTATCTGAATCCTGCAGAAGTTGTAGATATAAAGTTCCCTTTGTGCAAGATAAAGTCTGACATGTGGATGGTTATGGAACTGCAGATTCATAGGAAACAGAAATGGATACCAATCATCCAGGGTCCATTCCAGCAGCCGCTTATTCATGCAAGTAAGGGCCTTAGACCACCTCCTATCAGGGTAGGATTGTTGTCTACATTACATTTCCTAAGGCGTTGGTATTTAATACAAAATACCAGCAATATTGTACATTATACATATATATGTTCTTATTGCTCCTTTAAAATTGCTAATTTTCTAATAAGGATTGTTTAATAAAGATAACAGGTGAGGGGTGAATATCCACCCAAGTGGTCCTCGGAAAATTATTCATAACCAGAAAATATTCAGGTGTGATTACTTCAGAGAGACCTCTTCCTACCTTCTGTAATGGCTACTACTATGAACTTTCAGAGTAGCAGCCGTGTTAGTCTGTATCCGCAAAAAGAAGAACAGGAGGACTTGTGGCACCTTAGAGACTAACAAATTTATTAGAGCATAAATTAAGAGAAAACAAACTTTTGAAGTGATAATCCATCTCCCCTTGTAAGTATTCTCACACTTGTTATCTAACTGTCTGTCTGTACTCGGCTAGCTTGATTATCACTTCAAAAGTTTTTTTCTCTTAATTAATTGGCCTCTCAGAGGTGGTAAGACAACTCCCACCTGTTTATGCTCTCTGTATGTGTGTATATATATCTCCTCAATATATGTTCCATTCTATAAGCATCCGAAGAAGTGGGATAAAGTCCACGAAAGCTTATGCTCTAATAAATTTGTTAGTCTCTAAGGTGCCACAAGTCCTCCTGTTCTTCTTATTGATGGACCTATCCTCCATGAATTCATCTAGTTCTTTTTTGAACCCCGTTATAGTCTTGGCCTTCA